GAGTACTGTGGGCCCTGACTACCATTGGGTAGATCACCTGAGCTGTCTTTCTAGACTATTATGGTTGTTTAATAATGTCAAGAGCTTCCAGGTTCCTAAGGAGAGGAGAAAAACGCTAGGAATTTAAGAAGTTCTGAGTATCCCTGTTTGATTTCCTGTTTTTTTTCTTCTAGACAGGAAAATTACAAGCTACAAGCCACAGGGAAGAAGTCAAGTAAATATTAGACTCTAGATCTAGCCAGAACCTTCAAAGATTATGGAGTTCTCTCTGTTACCAGGATAGGGTATATTTAAATGTTCAGAGTGTGAGCAGAAACTCTGTAAGTAGACTGTGAACTTCTTGTCCTTACCCGTCTTGCAATGTCCAGTGGTCCCTAAGAGTTCCACCCTTCTGGAAAATATCGTTTCCTTTAATGTCCAAATAAAATAACTCAAGCTCCAGCCAGTGAAATTTTGGGAAGTTCCACACCCTCCCCAGCATTTTGAAGACACTTGATGGATGCTTGCTTGCCTTCCCCCGCTGGCTTCTTGTTATCTCTCACCCTAGACTTTGAATCCCAGACCAATTCTTGATCATTCTTGGTTTTCATCACCAATCCTGCTAACTGCTGCCTTCTCTGTACTGTTTTCCCTAGAACATGGGTAAAACCCCTTCTTCTTTTCATTTCTAGAGCACCATTAATTATATGAAGGCTATTGTTATGTAACTGACTTTAAATGTTAACAGAGAGGAATGCTTAATTTTAAAATTCTTTAGCTATGGCACCTTAGAGAATTGATGCCCAACCAACTCTCTCAGTAGCTAAGGGCTATTCTATTTCTCCTTTTACCTGATTCCTGAAGAACCATCTCCATCCCCCCCCAGATTCCTATCACTGGAGTCTAGAAAGACCACTTTTTTATTATCATTTTGCTGATCCCTTGAGTTCCCTTTATTTCGGTATTCCTATGCTTTCCGCAACAGGCCCGAGTTGTTGGTGTGCTTCCCTAAACAGGCAAAAGGTTCCCCTCTGCCTTTTCTCTGGCTTCTGGACTATAGAAAGGATTGAAGTAAGAATTTAAAAACCAATTATAATTTAATTTAAATTGCTTCTTAAAATCTCTCCTTAAAATGTGCTTCTATTGTCAAATCAGATGTGATGTACTTGGCATGTGGTGACAATTTTTAACCACAACAATATCCAATCCTTCCTTGAATATAGTCATCAATCTTGTGAACGTTTCATGTGTTGTTACTTTTTCATCCTGTGATCCTTTTGAAGACTCCCATCAATTCCCTCTTAAACCCCAATTCTCACTCCAAACAACACAACTGAAAGTCCTCTGGTGACTGCTCCCATCAGGAAGCAAAACGAGTCCACACTCCAGCTGGCTTCTTAGTAATAATACCGGATGGTCATTTGACTCTGAGAGCCTTAGTTTCCTCTTTTGTGAAATGAGGAAGTTGGCCTACTTTATCTAACTTCCTTCCAGTTTTAGAATACCATGCATGCCTCTAAAAGATGATAGGAGCTGACATAAGGGGTTAGACCCAGAAGTAGAGAAGGCCAGCTACTTCATTTGCAGCTCCAATCATCCACTGTCATTAAAATAACAAGCAGAGATTTGCTGTTTAGTAATCAAGTGATCTCAACCTCCAGTAGGAAATAACTCATTATTAATCTTGGTTTAAACACTAAGGGATTCTCACTTCCCTTAGAAAGGAATTTCCCCTTTCTCTGAAATAAGACTGTTCATGTACACCCCCGTCTCATTTGAGAAACAAAATGTTTCTACTAAAATTAAGTGGCGGGGCTAGTATAATTCAAGTTTGGAGACTGAAAAACTTTTTTCTCCTTAGTTTTAATTTAAACCATTTATCCTTCCTTCTCTGATTGTTCCAAAACTACCCATGAAGACCTAAAGACTTAGTAAATGGAGGGGCATTTGCATGGAAAAATTAAAGAAAAAATGTAGGATTACTGTCTGAGGTTAGATTTTATATGCTTCAAATGTTAAAAGAACTAAGTTGAAGCACCATCTAGTGGCTCTCAATTGTGTTTTGCTAAAAGTAGCTCCCAATTTTCCTCAAGTTAGGACCACATTTAACTTGTGATGCACGTAGATATATATGCATCTACGTGTTCAGAAAAGAAAAGAAAAAGTTTTTCATCTTTATGCAGGGTAGGAGGTTGAGAGGGAGTAGCTGTAGCTCTTCACCTCTTCTAAACTAACATCACCCAGAAAATCATGGCAGTGAGAATGGAACAGAGAAGCAGCATTAATTCAGGTAAAGCTCTTCCAGAAAGGATGGAATCCTTTCAGTGGACAAGGATGAACATAACAAAGTCTCACAGATTTCCAGTCCTGTCTTTCTTCTGTTCACATCCTCTGTTAAGAGCCTGCAACAGTATCTTCTCTTCCCAATCCTATAAGGCAGGCATGGCCTCACCTGTCTAGGGACTGGCTATGAGATGTTCTTTGCACACTTCCACATTCCAAACCCTTTCCTATCACAAGCCCACAGCATCGCACCAGCAATTCTTCTGGAACTACCGCAGAGACGGCTCTCATACCTATGATTCTTGTCTTCTGAAGTCACATCTGTTTCATGATCTCTGGGGAAGAATGAAAGCAAGACCATGAAAATGCTCATGAGCAGAGAATGACCTGTGTCACAGTGCTGCCAGCCAACCTTGAGACTGGCAAACTGGGCATGTGCATCAACCAGGATCATGTTCAACTGTATATGGAGTAAAAACTAAAGTAACAGTGGCATCCACAAAATAGTTTATTCTCACACAAAAGTTTACAGGTAGGTAGACTAGGATGGTATGGCAACTCCACAGTCATCAGGGCCAGAATCCTTCCGTCTTTCCTTTCTACCATCTTGATGAGTGGTTTCCACCCTCAATGTCATTCATGGCCCAAGTTGGCTGCTGGACCTACAGTCACCACAGCAGTGTTGCAATCCAGAGGTAAGGAGGAAAAGCAAAAGAGGACCTCTCCTTTCTTTTAGAGAGTTTTCCTAAAAATATCACAGAGACTGATGCTTACATCTCATTCACAAAAACTTTTGTGGGTGGTCATACTCAGCCACAAGAGAAAACTAAGAAATGTCTTTTAGCTAAGCGTGTCTCCATGCTAACTAAAATGGAAGTTATGCTATTAATCAATTTATGAGAGACCTAATTAAAAGGAAAAGAAGGGATTTTTTTTTTGGACTGTGAACTCCACAGTCCAAGCAGGTTTATTGCTAAACCTGAGAGGGACCCCTCTGTTCTGGCTAGCAGAACAAAGAAGGCATCTCTTACAGACTATGTGGCTTTTTATGGCAGTGTTTTTTTGGCGGGTTTTTGAGGGGCTGGGTCAGGGAAAAGGTGGGCTTGCAGCTTGCTGATGTGTCCTTGGGAAAATGCTTGGAGTCTGAGTAAGATGAATCCTGGGTCTCTCTAAGGTGGCAGGGGGGTTTATTCAAAATGAAGGTACTCCTGTCCAAGCTCTATCACTAACACCATGTTAATGCTGAGTGGTAACAACAAAACCTCTGTGGCAACAATAGCTAAATGTCTGGGATCATCTGATATTCAGGTAGGCAGCTCTTCTGATCTTGATTAAGCTTCCTCTTATGTCTAGGAGATAGTCGACCATGGGATTGTCCAAGCTGGTGGGGGATGGGACTGGGTGACTTAGTTCTGCTCTACATGCTTCCCGTCCTCCAGGAGAGGAGCCCAGGCATGTTCTCATAGAGTAGCAGTCAACACCCACAGCACCTCTTGAGACCCAGGCTCAAAACTGGTACACTTTTGCCTCATTTGGTTGGCAAAAGCAAAGTACCTGGGGTAGAGAAATATGCACTCTCTTTATGGAAAGAACTCTAAAGTCACCGGCAAATTACGCAGAGGGAGGTGCAGAGATCTGGAGTCATGAATACAATCGCCTACCATGAGGAGAAGGGGAATGATGAGCACTTGGACCAGGCAACTGGCAATCTGTGCCACAGTATTTCTGAGTTATGACAGAATCGTGGTACTAGACTGTTTTCCAGTCTATAATCTATCTTAAACATAAAAGATCATAATAACAAAGAAAAGAGAAAAGAGCTAATAAGAGTTATATATGACATTATTTACTCATTTATTTCTTGACTCATGTTCAATTACTAATACAGTAGGTATTAATCTTAGCATTTGTCCTATTCTTCACTGAAGGCAGAGACTGGCTATATATACCCAAACCCTGACTCCATTTCTTCCAAGACAATTACACTGCATTTTTCAACTTCCATAGAATTGTGCGGTCATATGACAAGTACTAGTCCACAGAATGTGAGTGGGACTGATTGCTATTCTAGGCCTGGTTCATAAAAAGTCTCCCACTTGAAATCTTCCTTCCTCTCTCTCCCATTCACGAGCTGGATGGAGAACATTCTGAGAAGGGCAGAGCAATGGGATAAAATGCTAGCTTACACCAGAAGCACTCCTGTCCACTGCCTCAGGCCCACCAACCTGCACTGGAATATGGAGTGAGCAAGCATTTTGTCATACTTTGCGGTATGAATACACTGAGATTTGGCAGCTGTTTGAACAATTAGGCTATCCTACTTACATAGTATCCTCCAGATAGAATGCATTCATTTTCTCCCCCAGAATTTTGCTAAAAATAAAAGTAATAGCCCAAATTACCTGCCACCTTCTACAAGAAATATTCCTTTAAACCAAAGGACCATTTCTACTATAGGATTACCATGGGTATCAGTGAAGATAGGACTCCAGTTTTCACTGGCCCTAGAAAATGTTAGGGCTTCAAGAAGCACTCTTACCACTATTTACCATTCCAACCTGGAGTGGAGACAAGAAAGAGGATTGAGACCCTGGAGCTCTAAAAGGTAAGGTGGCATTCAGTCCTGTCTCCAAGGACTCTAACAGCATTTTATTTGGGATTGACTTATAATTTCCTCAAAAATGCAGGCACTGCTAAAAATGACTTCTGGCCACTTTTGCAATCCAACTACCCCAAACATGCAATCCAACTACCCCAGCCGTTGGCTTGCAAAGAATGAAAGGTCAGCTACAGGCTATCCTGGAGGTAGTGTTTGTAGCAGCTCCTGCCACTGCAACATCTCAAGAGGGCAGAGAAAACAAGAAGCTAGGATGGAAGCACCATCCAAAGAAACCAAGGGGTGTAGGCAAACTGCACAGCGTTGCTGCTTGCCTTTCGCTGGCCATGTTCCTCTTTAGGCAGAAGCAGGGTTGTTTCTCATTTGCAAATAATAGCTCGGTAGGGCAAAGGGGAAAGTAGGTGAGTCATCCTAGGCATTTACGATAAGCAGCAAACTTTTTCATGAATACATATACGTGTGTGTGAGCTGAGTGTTTGAAGCTGGCCTTGCCGACTATCATATCTTTTCTCCTAAACACAGAGGTATCAAAAAGTAACAGGAGCAGTCGAGCTAGATGTTCAGCTGGAAGGTAGATCACAACTAGCTGCTTTTTTTGTGATATCTCATCAGGTCTAAATTGATTTCCAGATTTTTAAATTTTCATGCTCTAGGAAAAAACATAAAATATATAATTAAGGAAGAATGAACACAAGCCTTCAGAAGCAAAGAAACAAGGAAATAAACACTTAGGAAGCCCCAGAAGCACTTCATTTCCCCCACAGAATGCTCACGGGCTGGCTGGCCCAGGACAGGCGTCTCTTATGGAAAAACTGTAAGGGAGCAGAAGCTCTTATCCCAGTGCCCCTGGGCTCTCCACTGTTAACAAAATTCCTACAACAAAGAAAGGGCTGGAAGAACAAACACATGCCAAAAAGTGCATCAAGTTTTTCCCAGGGCATTGTAAACTCACAGTGTTACAATAATGTTTTCTTTCTAATGAGTCTTTATTTTTCAGTCTTCATTCCTTCCTGCAATCGGTTATTTTCTTGACCACAATGACCAGAATAATCAGGAAAAGAGAGAACTTCATACCGAGAATGATCAGTAGGGATGATTCTGGAAATCTCAAGATTCTGACACCTTTAAACACAGGTAACACAGGTAGGGCTAAGAAGGCCATTTCAAGGATCCTACTAATGAACACATTAGAGTTAGCAGTTTAAAAGAGTCTTCTAAAATGTTCTTAAAACTTCACAGACTATCATAATCAGAACACATTCTAGATCACAATTTGAATGTTAACAACATATCATTCTTTCATGGCAAAGTTTAGGAGCCTTGTCTCTGTTTTGTACATGGTAGATTTTGAATAAATATTTTCTGAATGAATAAATGCCCAGTGAACACTGCTAATACTTTCCAAGTTTACTAGAAAAAGGAGAATGTATTTTTTTAAGTTACTGTATAACTCTTCATTTGGGGGGACATTATTCTTAATATTTGGGGCATTAATAAATTTTTCTAGACAGTGAAATGATTTTGTCATTGGGCTGCTGTACCACCTTTAGTAGGACATTTTATGTCTCCCTACTTTCATTTATTTATCTGTGAAATGGCCCAGAGAACTGTTGAAAAGACAAAATGAAACTAACTAGGACCACCTTTCTGAAGTCTTTTCTCCTATGAAAACAGCTGCTCAGAGAGCATGTGAACTCTTAGTACTTATCTGACTCTTGGCTCCAAAGGTCATATCATTCTGTGAAATGACCTGCTCACACACTAAACTAGAAGAATGTCAGACAACCTCCTAGGCTGCATCAGAGAAGAATAAGACATGATCACAGCCCTCAAAAAGCTCATGGTCCAGTTGAAGTCAGACCCATAGAAATGGGAAGATAATTTACAAGAGAGCAAACAGCACTAAGTGAGCATTACAGATTACAAGTCATCCCCTGAATAAGGAAGTTTAATGAAGTCTAATAGGCAGTCAGGGTGAAGTGGGATTTGAACTGAGCCTTGTCAGTAACAGGCTGAAACAGGGTAAGAGAAGAAGGAAGAATTTTTCTAGAGAAAGAAATTGGAGCAAAAATTTGAAGAGAGTTTACTTAAATCATATTTAGAGTATAGTGTGGGATATATAGAAGTCCGTGATGATCTGAACTTAATTCTGCAGTTTTGTTATGTGTCAGGCACAGTGCCAGTCCCTGGGGATACAGAAGCGAAATGATATGGTGCTGACCTTGGGCTGGGAGTCAGAGAAGGGGGAGGTCAGTTGCAGGGCCTAGCCAGAGGCACACACAGGGCATTATGCGAGCACAGGAAGGGACGGCTAACCAGACCCCAGGGTGAGAGGGAACTGCCCCAGAGGAACTCTATCAACTGGGTCTTAAACCTTTAATAGGAATTGACCAAATGGAATGAAAGAAGAGAGTACATTGTAGAGAAGCAGAAATTGCATGTAAAAGACAACAGAGGAATAAAGGAGGAAAACACTTTTGGGGATCCCAAAAAGGCCCACAAGCATGGGATACAGACTAGAGAATGGCAAAAGATTTAGCTTTCTGTGAGGCAAAGAGAAGCCACTGGGGGCATTTAAGTAGGAGGAAGGAGTATGTTTTCCATCTTACAAGAGTCAGTCTGACAAGAGTGAAGGGGATAAACTGGAGAGAAGTAAGGCAGGAGCTAGAAGACTGGTGACAAGGACATTGTAATAATCTCAGTGAGATGGTCACATACTCAACTAATGCAGTGGGGAGGGAAAAAGGTCCAGATTTAAGAAATACTTTTAAGGTAAAATCAATAAAAGATAGTGACTGATTTTGAATACAGGAAAGAAGAAAGTGGTGCTGTAGGATGTTTCATTTTCTGGCTTGAGTCATTCACCAAGACACAGACCATAGGTGTGGAGCTCACGAAGGGGGGAGGACAGGAATTCCTTTCTGGGAATAGGCATGGTGCCCTCGAGGATCCTGGTGAAGCTGTCCAGCCGGAAATCGGTTTTGATCATGGTGTGGCCAAGGACATAAATCTGGGCTAAAAATACATATGAGAGTCAAGAATAGGCAGTGGTTGAAGCCCCAGGTCTGGACGATGGCCCTCAGGAAGCAGGGGTAACAGCAAAAAGAGAATCAGTGACAGGACTCAGAGAAATGCCTTTCTTTGGGGGATGAATAGACAGAAAGGAATCTAAGAAAACTAAGAAGCTGACTGGAAGTTAAGCAGAGAACCCAGTGAATATGGGAGAAAAACAGATGAAAAAAGAGGAGAGACCATAGCAAATACTACAAAGAAGCTAACCAAGAACAAAGAATGAATATTTTTTATTTTATTCAGCTGCTAGGAGATCTCAGTGCTTTTTGTTAGAACATTCCCTGTGCAGAGAGATGCACGTGAGTTAAAGAGGAGATGTCATACAATGAGTTTAGACGCTCTTTTAAAAGTCATGGGTATGAGTAAAAGGTAAAAACTAAGAGTGTGAGGAATCATAGTGTCTAGTTTTAAATATGAGAGTTATACTGGGATGTTTATATAATAAGCTTTGGGGAAAGGACTTGTGGAACAGACAATACTGAACCAAACAGAGCAAAGATGGTTAATGAAGCAAAGCCTCTAAAGACATGGAAAGGGAAAAAAATATATGGGGTAGAGGTTGAATGTTTGGTCTACAGAAGGGGAAGTCAGGTGGGACTGGAGATAAATGCATAGATCTAGATGGAACCGTATGAAGACACAGATTTTGTTTTTCCATCTTTGTATCACCAGCCTTAAACACCTAACATTCAGTTACCAGTTTGGCAAATGAATTGATGAACTGGTTTTAAATAATGAGGGAGAGGAAAATTGTCTCTTACTCGGAGCAACAGATCAAGTGGTGATTACAAGAAATAGAAAAATATGTAAGGAAATAATTGCTGTTCTTGGCTATTTACTGAAAAGTACTGTTAAATTATATACAAGTATCCATATTTTATACTATTAATTTCAAAGAAAAAGCCTATATTGATCACTCAGTTAGCAAATAATTTTTTGTGGCTACAGAAGAAAAGATGTTTAGGGACGTACTGGTAAAAAGTTATTAAATTAATTTCTTCTGCTCGTTAAAGGAATATGAACAATTTCTCTAGCATCCTAATGCTTTATCCAGTTTAGTTTTAGAAAATATCTTCAAATTAGGAGCACAGGCTTTGTCACCTTGCACTTGGTTGTTCATAATCTTGTATGGCAGAAAATGCAGAGCATCAAGTTCACTACTCTACACGAAGCAAGTGCTTACCTGGGTCCAGTGCTAAGGACAGAGTCTTGTTTCCAGTCACATGAGAGACAGAGCAGGACACATTAGGCACACGGTGGCCCTCCCAGGAACAGGTGCTCTGGACCGTCACTGTGCCATCGTCCCAGTGTTCCTGCTCAGTGACACAAGTCCCCTCTGGGGTCCAGGAGATCTGTGCAGCCGGCTTCCCTGCAGCCGCCTTGCACACTGTGGTTCCATTCCCACTCTGAAGCAGGGTCACCTCAGGGGGCACTGCAGAGAGGTAAGGAAAAATGCTTCAATCCTAACTAACACATGGGACAGGGAACAGAGAGGGACATTAGCTCCTGCCCCAGTTCTGGTTATCTGACAGACCACATTACACGAGGCTGCTCACCTAACACTTGGAGGTAGTATCCATGCCGGAAATTCCCATTGGGTGTGACCATTTCACACGTGTAGTTCCCATCATGCGTGGTGGGCACTGGATCAATCTGAAGGGCAGGATTCTGGTCAGGTCTGGAGACCCAGGTTATTCTCGTGTCTGTACAGTTACTGTCCTTGGTCTCGTTGTTATCTCTCCTGTAGGCTCTGGTGCAGGAGGAGTTGTCTCTGAAGGTGATTTCCCACGTTGCTACCACCACCGCTGTCAACAGGATAGGAGGGCAGCAGAGCACGGCCTTTGTATCCACAGGTACAGACAGAGAAGTGTAAGCTGGACAGGCACCCACACAAACACACATGTAAGGAGAATGAGGAAGGAAAAGCTTGATAAATAACTTCATGTGTTGAATTTTCCACAGCATAATCACATGAAGTTGTATAGAAGAATACTTTGCTGATGATCTTATGCCAAAACTACATAAAAATTAAACATTCACAAAATGTACATAACATATTAAGCCTAATCCAATAATTAATCCATTTTCTCCAATATTACGTATTCAGGTAAACAGTAGATATTATACGGGTGAGAAATATTTTAAGAATTTTTCATTGATTTGGGAGTTTTGATATATATGAAATGAATAAATGAGAAAACACAATCCTAAATTACGGGAATGCTCTTATCTTAATCTTCTACTTCTCATACCTATTGTGATGCCTTACCAATGGTCAGTCCCTCCATGGGATTGGAACCAGTCTAGCAAATGTATTCTCCGTAACCTTCTGTGACAGATAAGGCACCTCCACCTCCTACATCACTGAGAAGACAGGGCTATTCTCATATTGCTCCACACCAAGCAGTCATAGCCCATCTGCTCGGCATCCTTTGTCTGTAAATACCTTCCAGTCTCATCCATCCCTGTGCACACAGACAGATTCCCATTGTCTTTCGGGCATTTCCTTCGTGTTCTCATCCCCACAGCCTAGTGGAGTCCCCGCCACCATGCACCCCATAACTGCAAAAGCCTCTGACTTCAGTCTCGGCCTTAAAACTCTCCCCTTCACTTCATACCTTACACTGCAGCTAAGTGCATCATCCTATAACAGATGTGAGTCCCTCAACTCTGACAACCTCCAGAAATCTCTCATTGCCAGAAAAATTCATAAAATGATAGATAACAATGAACATCTTTATATTGGCTTTGAAGGCCCTCTTTTCCAAACTGGCTCACCTTGCAATCTCACCACCCCCTTACCACCTTGCGCCCACCCTGCAGAAAGAACACGCCAAGCACAACTGCATTTCTCTCAGTCCTCACAATGATCCCTGGTCTGGGATGCTCCCACACAACACTTTGTGTCTACTACTACTCTCTTCCCTAAGACCCCGTTCCCGGGCCACATCCCCTGTGAAGCCTCCTCCGAGCCTTGGTGCCGACCCGCTCCCTCCTCATCACTCCTGACCCACTTGATGCAAGAGCTTATCTCCTCTGCTTGATTGGAGCGCTGTGCTCATTCTGGCTGCTCCCTCAACAACTAGCTCCCTGGGGGATCTCTGATGGTCTAGCTCATTGGCTCATCTTTCTGTCTTCATAAGCGAAGCTCAGGGCCTGATAGAGAAAGCTCCATGATCTCCAGATGGAATTGAACTGTGCTGGGGAAGGAGGGACAAGGTCATTCAGGGTCCCTCACACCACAGCCTTCAGACCACCGTATTCTTCAAACGGGCAGAAGGCTGGCCCTCAGACCAGACCATCAGCTTTGCTTCTAGGGAAGAACTTCCACACTCCATCCCTTCTAAGGTACTTGACTCTAAGAAAAAGAAAAAAAAGCATATTACCTTCTGCAGGAGCCACTAAACTGCTCTGCTCTCCATCCACAGGTGAATTATTTATTAAAGCTAGAAAATATTTAGAGAAAAGGAAATGAAATCAATTTTAGGGACTTAAATGGAATGCAAGCCACTATTTCTCCACAAAAACTTACATGTGCACCATGATAGAAGATCAGTTATCCATAATTAAATTATACAAAAAGTCTTGTAAAACAGAACTTAGAAGATATTCCATCATTAAATGGAAAAACATGTTAACATTTGTAAATTACATTTAGAAGCTATTGATCAATTATTTCTATTTATGTGACACCTTGTTTTGTACTTGACAATAGTTTCTATGAGGTAACCCTACCGCCACCCTTTCTTTAGCCACAGTGGATGGTCTTTCATCGGCATGTCACCTGAGACAGGTGGTAACAGTCATTTCTCCAGATGCCAACCCCCATTTAAACTTGTTTGGTTCAGCAGTGGGAATCCCACTCAACTGGACAAACCACAGAGTACCCTCTCAAGAATTTTGGAACAAGAACTGAGAAGAATAGTTCATCCCTCCTTCTTCCCCATTTTTTCTACTATGATGGTTATTTTATGTGTCAGCTTGGCTAAGCCATGGTCCTCAGTTATTTAGCCAAACATTGCTCTAGAATTTTGGGGGAAGGTATTTTTTAGATGAGATTAACATTTAAATAAGTAAACTATGAGTAAAGCAAATTGACCTCCGTAACTGAAGGTGGGCCTCATCCAATCAGTTGAAGACCTTCATAGAAAAAGACTGACATCCCAGCGAAGAGAATTCAGCTAGAAAATTGCCTTTGGATTTGAACTGCAGCTGTTCCCTGGGTACCCAGGCTGCTGGCCCAGCTGGCATATTTCAGACATGTGAAGCCTCCAAAATCACAAGAGAAATTTCCTTAAAATTAGTCTTTTGTTCTCTCCCTTCACACACATATGTATATACACACACACATCCAGTTGTTTTGCTTTTCTGAGGAACCCTGAGTAACACACCTACCCTGGGGATAATGGGCTTTTTTTTTTTTTTTGCAGCTAAGTATTATTGGCCTGGTCTGGAAGGAAGGCAAAGAGTAAAATGCTAACTATTAAATTTAGCAGATATTGGGCTCAAGAAACTCTTTCAGAAACAGAAATCAGAGCTGATCTCTGAGGCTTACTGAGATCAAGATATGACTTAGATATTCCAGGTTTCAAGCTCTATCACAGCATACAACACCGCTTGGCCTTCCCAGGCACCTCCCCTCTCACCACACCCAGCTTCTCAGGGAGTCGAAGGTCTGTGAGTTGTTTGCATTGTTCAATTCACCTCCAAGACTGAGTGTTGGTGGTGTGGGAAAATTTAAGGCGTGGGTATTTATGATGATGATATTGTTGGTTTCCACTTGGAATACTCAAGAGGAAAATTTCAAGTTTTATTAGAAATTAAAGGTATAAGAAAGGTGGCATAAGGCACTGGATGAGAAAAATCAGGATCTACACAACTTCCTCCATTAAGGGCCAATGAGTGAGCATTTGAAGCTTTGCAGGTCATGTGGTCTCGGTTCAAGGCTCCACTACAGCAACAGCAAAGCAGCCCTATAAGGCCTATAATGCAGTCGGACGGGCATGGTTTTGCTCCAGCAAAATCCTTTTTACAAAAATATGTACTTCTTTTTTGGATGGATTTTGCCCATGGGCTACAGTTTGCTGACTCCTGATTTAAAGTACAGTGCTTTCTTTATCAGATATAACTAAATCAACATCTGGATACAGTCAGGTTCTGCTAGAAGAGCCTGGTCTTGCCTTAAGTGGTTTCCTCTTAATTGACTCCACTGAAGTCTTCAAGCATTTTGTGTTTCCATGATCTCCCAGTGGGCTGGAGTATGGGAAAGACCTTCTGCTTAATAACAGTATTCCAGAGAGTGGAGGGGCATGGAGAAATATGCCTCTAGGGCCAGATACCAAACTGTCCTACAGGCAAGCAAAATCTGTGTTCTCCCAAAGAACACCCAGAGGAGAAAAATCAGCAAATGATGCCTGCCACTTTTCATCCCAAAGATGAAACCCATACATTGGGATGTACTCATAAGTGTGAAAAATAATTGTTTTTTTTAGAAAAGAAAAATAATGCTTTTTTTCAAAAGTGTTCCTCTGATTAATTTTATAGTAAATGGAAACACTTTTTAAACTTAGTTCATTGCTAATATGTGGGACCTTAAGTTTTACCATCTCAGTTGGCAGCTAGTTGCCATTGACACAGTATGCTGTTTTCATATCAAATATCGTGTCTTCATTGAAAATAGAAAGTGTCCTTCTTAGTCTTGCTTGAAGCTTTGTATATTTTAAAGTAGTATAACAAACTTTAAAGTTTCCAATCAATGGTCTTGTGCTTTCTTTCTTTAATTTCTTCATATGAAACCCAAATTTCTTTTAAGTTTAGAGAGATAATAGTTTTACATGGTTAACATCAGTTTTACACTGTTAACTCTTTCACAATGTACATTTGTATAGACTGAAACAAATGTGAGTTGTGTTTTTTAAACTCTATTTATATAGAAAAGTAACTTAATTACTCATTGTATTAGTTGCCTAGGGCTGCCTCAACATGTACCCACAAACTTGGTCCATTAAAACAATAGAAATTTATTCTCCAATATTTCTAAAGCCAAAAGTCTGAAATCAAGGTGTCAGCAGGGCCATGTTCCTTCCAAAGGCTCTGGGAAGAATCCTTCCTGCATCTTCCAGGTTTGGGGGCTGCCGGCCATCCTTGGGGCTCCTTGGCATGTAGATGTGTCAGGGCAGTCTCAGCGTCTGTCCTCACATTCCTTCTCTCCTGTGTCTTCTCTTCTCTTCTAAGGACACTTGGTTTTGGACTTAGGGCCCACTGTAATCCAGGGTGATTGTGTCTCAAAAGTCTTAGCTTAATTACCTCTCAAAAGACCCTTTTTCCAAATACAGTCACATTAAGAGGTTCCAATGAGACATAACTTTTCGGGGGGCCACCACTCAACCCATGACACTAATGCAATGTCTCACCCTGGGATTCACAGCTTATATAGTTATGTCACTTTTTTATTCTGTAGTTGACCTGAAATCTAATTTTTCTAGATGGTGAATAATTCAGTGTACTTAGAAAAGATATTTATTAAGTCCAAGAATACATTTTGAAATCATTGGAATTATTTTTCAATGAAGTGCTCAATCTGAGACAGATAGCCAGATAGATATAATTTTTTTAATATAAAGAAAAAGTTAACTATAATGGCAACAACAATTTGGGAGACAGTAGGACTGGATGAGGGATGCACAAAATAAATTACCAACTTCTCCTAAGGCTATTTTTTTTAAGTTCTCCAGAATAGTAGCCTGTTTCAAAAATTGAATGAAAACAAATTTCGATATGCCATTCATTTGCATAGCAGTAACATTCTTGAAATAGGTACAAAATAAAGAACAGAAATAACTTCAGAATGAAAAACTTACCAACACTCTTAAACACAAGGAATACTTTATTTAAATAATTTTAGAGCATATAATTTATAAATCCATACTAAATAATTCAAGATCCTAAGATGTAAAAACTATACCAGCATCACTAGTCTTGTATTAGAATGATCATTAAGAGATGAGTATTACCCAAACTGTAATTGTCCTTGGCCGTTTGCTGTGTGCTTTAGCAGGACCTTCTGTTCCTGTGAGTATGCTTTCTGAAAAGACACCTGAGAGGAGAGAGGAATACACATTAGAATTTCTAACTCCTGGTGAAAATCATATTTTTTTCACATTCTTCAGGCCACTTTGGATCACAGTTGCCAATGAAAACATGAATTATGACAGGCAAGCAAAAGTCTCAGAACAATCTGCCCCAGTATGACCTGTTGATGTGAACTTCACACCTGTTACTCATACCCCTGCTTTAAGGCTAAAGGGCCAGTCACCACTATCCTGGGAAAGAGAGAGTTTTACCACCAGTCACAAATATTAATGCACTAGTGAGCAGACAGAAAAAGTTTAGTAGTGATGCATTGATTGGATACTAGTAAGGGATACAAAGGGGTTTTCCCAAGTATTATTGAAATCACAGCATATAGACAACTGCTTAGTATGAGTAGATTTTATAGGACCAGCTCTAAGGGCAAATTGATGATAAACATCTTTTGACCTGCAACTCCAGGCAAAGTATTTAGTAGTCATATAGACATCACAATTAACAATGCCCTCTTCTCTCCAAGAGCCTGAGGTCCCAGTGAGGAAACAGCTATGCAAACAATTACAGTGCAGTTTTTAGAGTGATGATAGAAGAATACATAGTGTCCAGAAGTTAAAAAGATGAGATGTTTAATTCTAAGGGAGCAGGTTGAAAGATTAGGAAAGACTCCCTGTAATTGATGATATTTGCGCTGGATCTAAGTTGATGAAGAGTTTTCTAGGAAGAGAAGGAAATCTTTAGGCACACAAGAAGAATGGCATTTAGAAGAATGCATGAAGCCACGTGGGATTTTCAAAGAACTACAAATAGTTCAGTAGCACCATTAAGTGAGAACAACCAGATGTGTGCATAGAGTTGGCACTGGATATTGGCGGCCTCTAATGCAAAGCACAAAACTCCTAGGAAGTGTTCACAAGGAAATGAGACGTGTCTAGTGCATCTACAGTGGGCATATCGGACCAACAAAGAGAAACATTTTAGGGTAAATTTTAATGGAAAGTATTTTTCTGGAGAAATTTTGATTTCACTGCTTCTCTTAGCTACCACTTTCTTTAATAACATTTTTTTAAAATAATGTATTTTGAGTGCTTAATGAGGAACAGATTTTTGGTAATTTGCAGATGTTATTTGTTTTAGTCTCTCCATAGTGACAGGTATTACCATCCTCATCTTACAGATAAAGATCAGTAGCTTCATAGTGATGAAGCAGTTTGTCCAAGGCCCCAGCTAGTAACCTGCTCCCCTTGCCCATTTGTTCTTGTGCAAGTACGTCTTACTGCCGTAAGTAGAAACCAAAGGTTGATTCCTAAGAAATATGCTAGAGTCAATACACTACCCAAACTAACTCAAATTGGGAGAACTGGTGAAGAAATCCAGGCCATGTCTTTGTGGACGTTGAGAGACAAAGGTCTGAAAATGCGCATCAAATGGCAAGTCCATAGAATCAATCGGGATTAGAATGCCATATGGACACAAGCATTATGAATTCTGCATCTGAATGGGAATAATTAAGCAGAAGACAAGGATTTGAGAAAATTTCCAAAATTCCTGGCCATACCATATTTGAGGTATGGCCAGGCTATTGGAGGTCAAGCTCTTTGAGGGTAGGGACTTTTATCTTTGTTCTTCATTCTGTATCCTCAAGGCTTAGAAGAGTGGTTTGCACACCTCCCTGGCATGTGACTGATTCAAGCTGGGTTAAAAATAAATAAAGGTCAACACAATCCTATAGCAAGTGGGACTATAGCTATGGACAGTTACTTTATGGAAAAATAAGTACAAATGTCTCTTAGTCATATGAAAAGATACCCAACATCGTTCATGGTAAAAGAAATGCAAGTGAAGACTATGTAGAAACATCATTTCTCCCCTATAAGATAGCTAAAATCCAAAATTTTGACAATACTCTTTGCAAAGCTGTGGAGACATAGGAATGCTGCTGGTAGGAATGTGAAATGTTACAACTTTGATAGAGGAAAGTTTGACACTATATAGCAAAATTACACATGCTTTTTCTTTTTGACCCAGAAATACCACTTCTCAGAATCTATTTCAAAGTAACACAGGCAACAGTAGTAGAAGAATACATGCATTAGATTATTCATTACTGTTAGGGTCCAGGCTTCCGAGGCTTCCCCAGAGAACAAACTACACAGGCATAGAGATGTAAATTCAAGCAAAGTCTTTATTCAGCTAGCTAGCTGAGGTCCAAGTCAGCCCGATGCAGCGGGTCTCAACAAGGACCCCGAGCACTCAGAGCCAAGGGTTTATATAGCAATTTCAAAGCACTTAACTCATAGCAATTTTCTATAACTATACATTATTCTTGCAAGACATATATCCTGGGGTTAAGCAAGGGCAGGGTAAGACTACTCCTCAATGGTTAGGGAGGTTCTGCACGATAAGCTTGGTATGTAAGATTTACTGACCAAGGTTAGCTGACCAAGGGTCACAGCTGCCCACCACCCGGTGCTCATGATTAACTGGTTTTTCAAGGCCTTACCCAGGCCCAGGGTTTTTTTTTTGTTTGTTTGTTTGTTTGTTTTTTTTTCCTCTGAGTCACACTCTCAGAAAATGGTTTCTAGGTTTCTAAGATGGCTATGCTTATGCTAATTTACTAATCTTACTAATGCTTAGATTCTACATTTCCCCACTTTCCTTTGACCATTCCAATCATGGAATGTTTGTTTCTTCCTGCTGTGTGAGTGAATGATACTGCGGTCTCAGCATTAGCACCTGAACAGCACTCACTCTTTCCCTAACAAAGGCTATTAGCCGGTTTAAGATACAGGGACCTAAAGTGAGAAGCAGTATAAAAATAAGCAAGGGCCCTGCCAGGGTGGATATCAGGGTTGTAAACCATGGGGATTTAGTAAACTAGGATTCAAATAGCCCTTGGCTGGCCTCTCGCTCTCTCTTCCTTTGATCTGGTCTCTCTCTAAGTTTAGACATTGAATCTCTTACTATTCCGGAATGGTCTGCTGTTAAGGTTTAGCTAAGTTTTATTAGTTCTTTTTCCTGACTCTTAATGCTCTCTGCACTCCTTTACATTACAACATTGTAATACAAGATATTTGGAAGTAACCCAAATAGCCACCTACAGGAGATTAGATGTTTAAACTAGTGTACATTCACAAAATGAAGTACACAGAAACTCTTTAAAATTATAGTGTGATCTCCAGGATATATTGTTCAGAAAATGAAATAGAACACGTAAAAGTGTACACTGGATGCTACTGTTAATCTAAGACATGATGGGAGGAATAAGTGTGTGTGTGTGTGTGTGTGTGTGTGTTCTTTCTTTTCTTGCTCATAACTTCTAAACTGAAAAGATAAAATGGTAACAGGAATAGATAAAAGATTCTCTAAATATACTTGATTATATAGATTTAACTTTGGATCAATGTAACCATTTTATATAATTATAAAACATGATAAAATTACTTGAAAACAATAAAACTATAACGCAAAATGAAACAAATGACTCTAACTGCATGTAAAGTTGGTTGCAAAACCACATAGAGAGGAACTTTCAAAACACAGTAATTTGTAAATTTCTAGGGCTTTATAAGAAATGACAAAAATAATTGCAAAAATAAGTCAAACGATTTTCAGTAGTCATATTGTTGGTGGTAGTGTTTGGTATTTTCACTCTCAAATTGTTGTATATGTTTTGTGGGATAAACAAAAGGAGTTATTATGTTAATATCTTTCAATTTTTTCAGTCTGGAAGAAAAGATATATATAGGTGTAAAGTGAATAAATGTAAATAGAAACCCTGAGTCTTAAACTTGAATCAAAAGTATCAGCATCAACTCATATTAAATTTTATCTTTTAAAATACATATTCCCTTACTGCTACTAGGGTTAGGAGCAAGCCTTACATAACAATAGATAATTGCTAATGTAACTATCATTAACCTAATTGATATTAATCTAATTGAAATTTCTGGAACAATATAACCAAGATCTGAAGACTGGAAAATTGAAAATAACTAATAATGCTCAGAATGCTTCCTCTAGGCAACATTTACTCAGAACTCATGTAAGGCAGTCTGGCATTGGCTAAAGGACAGACACATAATTCAATACTGATATCAAATACATTTCTAAGTAGCCCGTGGTCAAAGAAATCCATAAGGTAATTAAAGACTATATTTTAAAGCGAATGATAATAAAAATAAAACATATTAAAATTTGTGGACATATGTAGCTAAAGCATTGCTTAAATGATAATTTTAAAAGAACTATTTAAAATACACCTAAAAAAGCTAAAAACATAAAAGAATGAAGGAAATAATAAAGGTAAGAGCAAATATCAACAAAATAGAAAGAAAGCAAGACAAACATTAACAAAATCAAAAGCTGGTTTTTAATGAAAAGCTTCAACATTTATAAACCAATAGCTAGACTTATCAAGAAAAAGAACAGAGAATACAAATCTCTAATATCAGGAATTAAAGAAGGGACATTAATATATATACTACATTCATAAAAGGAATAATACAAGAATAATAACTTCATTATGTGAGTCAGTAACTTAGATGAAATGAACAAATTATTTGAAAGACACAGCTTTCAAAACTCCTTTAAGATTTAATAGATAATCTGAAGAGTTTTGTAACTATTAAAGAAATTGAATTTGTTGTTGAAAATTCCCACCAAATTGGCTTACACTGAAAAATTTAAGCATTTAAGGAAGAAATAATATTAGTTCTACACTTAAACCCCTTCAGAAAATAGACATAAAGGAACACTTCACTATTTTATGAGGGTAGAATAAATGATATATCAAAACCAGTAAATACATTATAAATAAGAACAGATTAGTATCCCTTATAAACATAAGACACAAAAAATTTTCACAAAACATTAACAATTCAAACCTAGCCCTATATAAAAAGAATAATAAATGATCACATAAAGTTCCTCCCAGGAATGCAGGTAGTGGAACACTCAAGA